GCGGTGCCCCATGCCCCAACCCAACCCAACCAGTCACCGAGCCGAGCCACGCCGAACAGCCTCGCCGTGCAGCGGCCCTCACTCCGCGGTGCCGAGCCGAGTCGAGCCGAACCAGCCTCTTGGGCTTGGGAGCCGAGCAGGGCGTCTGCTTAATCGGGGACCTTCTGCCCTCGCCGTTTCGTGCATCAAGTGCGTGCAAGCCTGTGATTGTGAGTGTGTTGCGTCGTGTGTATGTGTGTGAGTGCACGCGTGCGTGTGCGCGAGTGAGCAAGCAACAGGCTGGGGCCAGTGCCTCAGGCCGCGAGCCGAGCCGGGCAGAGCCGGGCTCAGGCTGAGCAGAGTCCGTCAGGCGGGCCCCGGCGGCCCAGGCCAGGCGTGGCCGCCAGCCGGGCAGCCAGCCAGCAGACGGGCGGCCAGCCACCCAGCCAGCAAGCCAGCCAGCTCGACCATAACAAGTGCCTCAAGTGTGTTCAGCCCCGTGTTAAAAAGTGCGTGGCGCGCGTGTGTGAGTGAGTGTGTCGTTCCCCGAGCCCGTCGTCCAGCACGTCGCCGTCGAGCGCAGCAGCACCCATCTTCCGCCGGGACGACAAAGTAAGACTCCCCGACGACGAGATTGCGTGACGGACCGCCGACCCCGGCCCGACCCGGGCCGCGGCCGCCGCCACCTGTGCGCGCCGCGCGCCGCGCCACGCGGCCGTGCAGGCGCAGCCTAGCGCAGCACTGCGAGGACGGATTTAAATCTGTGTCTACTGATGTGGGGCGGAGCGTGGGCCGCGGTGCGCCGCCAGCCGTCGCGGAGGTGCTCCTGGTGCTCCCGGAGCCGCCGCCGGGTCACTCAACCTCCACTCGCGCCGCTCCGCCCCGCCCCGCCCCGCCCCGCCCCGCGCGCCACTCAGTCACTGCAACCCGCCAAGGGCGTCGAGCCCAACCACTCGCGCTTGTTTGTTATTTCTGGCCAATCGGCGGCGCAAATCGAACACGACCGCAGCAGGAGCGCTAGCGCGGCAGTGTGAAGCGAGAGTGACAGTTTGGTTCCGCTTGGGCGCGGCGGCGGAGAGCGGCGACGGAGCGGCCCTGCCTGCGTGACATAAGAGCTCCTTATGTCACTTTAAGCGCCATTAAGAGCCATGTCGGGGACCGCTGTCGCCGCCGCTCCGGCTCAACTACTCGCCCGAACTACTTTCTTGTGGTGCTTAATTAGTGTGGCAGCCTAAACTTTCGACCACCTGACGCCGTCTTCGAGGAACTGCCGCCGCCGCCGTCGTCGGCTTCAAGGCCAACGAAGGACCTCGAAGGCAGCGTCAAGGGGAGCGGGAACCCGAGGGGCAACCCGGCGGCGATCGGAGTAGCAATCCCGGAACGGGAGGCTGGAGCGGAGCAGAGCGCAGCGCCATATGGAGAGTGTCTCATTCGGCACGGCGCCCGCCCCCCGCCTCTCCTAGTCATGAATAGATGTGTATAGTGAGTCAATTTCTATTGATTGGATGCATTCCGTGAATAAAAACTCGTCTGCCGAGAAAATAAAAACGTCGGCTGTTGGCCATTTTACCTTACACACGG